TGAGCTTGGTGAAAAGAAAAAAAGCCACACGGAGCAAGATCAGGTGAATAAAGTGTTTGTCCCTGCACGGCGACGTTCTCGGTCAGGAACTGCCGCATGCAAAGGGCGTTGTAAACAGGTCTCAATGAAGAAGTCACGTTTTATCCAGCCACAACTCTCGTCTCTTCTCACGCACTGACCGAAGCAAACGTTAAGGTTACAGTTATATACTCCCAAGTTATTATGTTAATTCTCAGACCGCGTAGTTACTTTTTTTTTCAATTTCTTGAATGAAACGTTATTATGAACTTACACTTTTGTAGTGTGTGGGTAGTTTTGCTTTAATTTATTGTCTCTGAACCAGAGATAAGTAATTAGCACATATTTTGATTTGAACTCTCATTTACTTGCAAGCCTGTTTGACGCAGAATTTGAGCTTTTTAAAAAATAAACAAACAAAAGTCATTCAAAATTCATCCATACGCTCACTGGTTAATTAAGAAAATTTCTAAACAACCAATGACATTGAGGAAATTTAATGGGTATAGGCATTTAATGCAGAAATTTAATGGGTATAGGCATTTAATGGGTATAGGCATTTAAACAACGTCACAATGACACGCTGAATTTCATTTCATGCATTACTATAGGATAGATAGGTAATTTAAATGACCTTGAATGCGGCACGTTCATTGTTGATGGACAGGTTTTGAGTATATATATATATATATATATATATATATATATATATATATATATATATATATATATACTAAATGAGGGTGAACGGTGGAGTAATGGATAGTTACTTAGATTGAGGAATTCGAATTCCAGTCGAATCCATTACATTCCCTTGCGTGCTAATACCCTTTTGGGAAAGGTATGTGTCATCTTCTTCTTCCTCCTCCAGCGATGGGTAAATAGCAGGTTCTATAGCCTTGGGTGGCAACTGGTCTAGGAGAAGGATAATTCTGAATTAAAAACCTGCGGAGGGTCTTTTGGGTTCCTTCTAGCACGTAGTGCACCAGGTCTCTGTATTCGGTCCTTCAACGTGGATGGTTCTGCACAAAACCTTCAATACTATAAGCAAATCACATGGTGTCTGGCTGTCGGTTCCTAGGAATTGAGCTGCTTTACCCACGTACGTCGAATACGACGGGAGAATATATATATATATATATATATATATATATATATATATATATATATATTAACCTGCTGACCTACGAATATATTTATACAAAACCATCACTAGTGTCTAATGAGAATATTCAGAAAAAAAGAAATCAATTCCAGCGAGTGATAATTCTGTAGACGGAAATCTCTTGAAAGAGGTCCCAAGAGATTAGTCAGATCGTTTCAAGCGGATAGAGAGTGTTGTAGAGTAGCTAGCACTCTTTCAGCCCTCTTAGCAGATGGCCTGGCTCAAAGCCTTAAACAGTCTTCGATTAAGGACTTCAACAGTTGATTAATAAGTTGATACTAATCTGATTAATATTCGGACTGACCTTACTTCGTCTGGCTATACAGTATTTGGCCCTCATCTATTCCTTGTAAGTTGTCTTGTTAATTGTTTTATAACTTATTGTTCTGTGTTTTTTGTATGTATCCGTTAGCACCAGATACTAGTGCTGAATAAATGTATTAAGCATTCATTCTTCTCTGTGTATCATTCACCTCAACACAGAGGTAACAGCAGTTCAAATGAGCACTCTTTACAACGGATACATACAGAGGAGTAATCTCGGAAAGCGCCTCAGATCGAACCATAATGCAGACAGGATGCAGCAGTAGAAGGGCACACCGAGAGCCACTCCTGTCAAATAAGATCCAAAAGCTTTATAAGCTTTATAATATAGTTCTTTTACAAGTTTTCGCTCGTCATCAAACGTGTATATAATTACAGAACGTAGCGCAAATTTCCGTTGAATGGGAAGTTCCTGATTGAACATTTCTATCTATAAAAGGCAGGATGTGTGTGTGTGTGTGTGTAACGAATGCACGGCCGCAATTTTCGACGGATTTGTACCAAAATTTACATGCACATGCTCCAAGTGAGCGGGAAGGCCAACACCGAATTTGCATTTCCCAACTCCCATCGATAGTCGAAATAATCGATTTTTTCATGCTTCTACGGCAGTTTTCAAGTAGTTTGCGGCCATTTTCTACTGGCCAGTGTGAGAGCCTATAGCTGGCTGGCACGAATAGGCAGGAAGATTCTATTGGCCAGCGTGAGAGCCAACAGCTGATTGACACGAATGTTAACTAGCATGCTATCATGCAAAAAAAAATCGATAGCTGCATTCGTCACAAGTGGGAAAATTTAAATCTGCATAGCACTTTACTTCAATTGACTCATTCGCTTGCTTAAACTCAACGTTGATTCTGATTCCGCAGAACTGGGTTTGGTGTGAAAAAGTATTTTGTTGTTAACATTCTTTTTTCATTTGGTTTTTCCAGTTACGAGTCCTTTTTTAAAGCTGATCGTTTTGTGTTCATTTTGTTTAGTTCTTTTTGCGTAACAGATTTAATGTTTAGTATAGAGCTTAGAAAAAATTCGCAGTGTGAGATAGGCAGGAAGTAAGGCATGTAGCAACATCAGCACGGCAAAGGGCACTTCTTTAAAGGTAAGGAAGGGCAAAAATATTTTAAGTCAAGTGATAGCGATTGCTGTATGAGTCATACGATTTTTGAATCAAGCACGGGCAACGCCGGGCCATGCTGCTAGTATAGTATATAAGGCTATAGACAAAGCAGGCGGGCAGTGAAAAGTATAATGCGGAAAAAGTATAAAAAAATATACCACAGTATCAAATTATTTAGAGTATATTGAAGAAACTACAGTGGGTGCTTATTGCTTAAATGAGAAATGAGAAATTAGAAGAATGGCAGCAAGTTTTGTACGTTTTTTGCGCAACAGAAGTTGGCAATAATATATTAAGAGCCAGAAATGTCGGCTAGATGTATGCATTCTAAGAAATACTTGCATTTCGCATCAGAAAAACCGGGCTTAACCTTGTGCTAGTCAGATGAGGTGCTTTGCTACTCCCAATTTTTTAAGTACTCATAATTCATAGTTGCCAAATTGTTTTTTTTTGCTTCCTCCCACTATTCTCCCGACTCAGTGAGGGTGTGTGGAACACGGTGTGGCGCAGTTGTAGTTTAGTTATCGTGGGAGGCAAACATCGCTTTGTATTCTTCAGGGTGTCCTGTCATTCCCACCTAAATAACGAAGGTAAGTTTTCATTTACTCCAATAGCTTCATGTCTCGCACCTCTCGCCGGTGGAACTCGCTTCCCTATTCCAGTTTCCCTGAGAGCTATAATCTCCAGCTATTCAAATGTAATGTCAATCGACATCTCCTTGATCTATCCACGACCCTTCTCCTCATCCTTTCTTCTAACACTCCTATCTGATCTTGCTCCAAATTTTCTTTAACCCCTTGCGTCCTAGCGGCTTCCCGCCTTGATTGGGGTGAAACGCTTAATATATATATATATATATATATATATATATATATATATAAAATAACGAAAGTAAGTTTTTGTGATATATATATATATATATATATATATATATATATATATATAATTATATTTGCTCTACTCTGTATTGAGCACTATTTTAAGAATAGCATTTTTTGTTTATTGGAATTTATTCCGTATACACCAATCTATACTTATATATATATATATATATATATATATATATATATATATATATATATATATATATATATATATATATTGGTGTATATATATATATATATATATATATATATACACACAGGTGCGATGCGATAAATTGTCGACGTTTTTTATTTTTAATTTCGCACACGCGTGCTTGTTTCTGATTTGGTCGACTGCAGAGTTTAGTAGGATCAGTTTGGCACCGTCTCTGAGAAAAAGTCAAAAGGCCAACGTAACTCTCTTTCTTGAGTGGTCCCGGGGCCTTGTAAAGGCTGACCCTCACTAAAAAAAAAAAAAAAAAAATCATTCGTAATAGATCTAGCGAGACAAGCTTGAAACTGGTAATTTTCTAAGAATAGCTTAGATGTGGCATGAAGCCAAATATATGGGACACTTAGTAAGGATCAAACTGACTATTCAGTCGTAATTCATCTAGCGAAAATGCTTGTTGTTGCAGCATACATACGGACGATAATGGGTATGTCCTCATTCACATAACTCCAGTAGTAAATACTTTATGTTGGTCTGCAGTTGGAAATTCACTTGACTCACTTCTAGCAGTTGACGCGCCGCTGGCGAATCTTATATGTGTTGTTCTTGTCCTAAGTATTATCGTTCATTATCAACCTTCGTTCGATTATTCTATTCAGTAATCTTCCCTGGGTTAGAACACTTTTAAATAGTTATTTTCTAAACGTAGCTTAGATGTATCACAAAGGCGAAAGTATGAGGCACCGAGTGAGGATCGAACTCGCTACTCAGTCGCAATTGTTCTAGCGAGACAAGTTTGCTAACCGTTACACCACGTCGAGGTTCCCCTGTCTATCTTGGACTGTTCATATCTATCTTGATAGAGGTCAAAATCATTGACGAAGTCTTGTGAGGCAAGACTTATTCTCTCCTCAGAGGCAATTCTTTCTTAACAGACGTCACCGCGCAAGACTGTCGCTACCCGAGCGCTATTTCCATGACAAATCTTCAGGTGTTCCATTCTTTAGTTTTACCGTTTCAGACCTTTGCATCTAAAACACGACATGCATTTTATGTCCTCCGAAATTCCAAAGGGAAGCATAATTCAGAGATATTGCTCCTAAGAACTCTTACTTTATGGAACCGAATTCCGTGTGCACCGCCTTCCTGATAATTACAATCTGAACCTCTTTAAGTTAAGGGTCAGTCGTTATCTATCCTCCATATTCTCATAACATCAACTTCCTGTCGGCTTCTTTTTCATTTATGTAATATTCATCATTCTTATTTTAACAGAAACCCCTTAACGGAAGTAACATCATCTATGAGACAAGCTTACTCACTGTAAATTCACCAAGTCAAATGCATCTATTTCCGCATTGTTTCTTTGTTTCTTTCTTTTCTTGCTTTTCTTTCTTTTCTTTCTTTTATAGTTTTCTTAGCCAAATACATTCTTTCTTTCTTTCTGTTTTTTAAAACTGTTTTTCTTTCTTTTCTTGATTTTCTTTCTTTTCTTTTTTATACTTTTCTTAGCAAAATACATTAGTTCTTTTTTTCTGTTGTTTTAAACTGTCTTTCTTTGTTTTCTTGCCTTTCTTTCTTTTATAGTTTTCTTAGCAAAATACATTCTTTCTTTCTTTCTTTCTGTCTGTTTTTTAAAACTGTTTTTCTTTCTTTTCTGGCGTTATGATCTTAGTGTTATCTTTTCTAAATTCCTTCTTTTTTTTCTTCTTATGGTTTAATTTCTAAGTTCTTTCTTTCTTCCTTTTCCTTCAATAGTTTCTTTTCTAAATTCTTTCTTTTTTTTTCTATGTTTTTTTTTTCTTCTAAATTCATTCTTTCTTTTTTTCTATATTTTCTTGTCTAAATTCTTTCTTTTTCTTTCAATGGTTTCTTTTCAAAATTTTTTCTTTCTGTTTTTTTTCTAAATTCTTCCTTTTTTTCATTGTTTTTTTTGTAAATAATTTCTTTTTCTTATTCTACCTTCGTTTTATTGTTTCCTTTTCTATGTTTTTTCATCTTACTTTCAATTTCCTCTTTTCTTTCTTTTTTGCCATTACGTTTTTTTTATCAATTATTTTCTGTTCTAAATCCTTTAGATTTTCTTCTTTTCTTTCTTAGCTTTTTTTCTTGTTTTTTTTCTTCGTTTTTTATCTTCGTTTTTTTTCTTTGTTCTTTTTTTCTACATTTCTGACGCTCATTTTAACGATACTTTACTAAAATCTTTCTTTCGTTGTTTTCCTTTTTCACGATTTTCTTTTATAAATTCTTTCTTTCACTTTGCTCTTTTCTTTCTTTTCTGTCCTTATGCTTTTATTAATTGCTTTTCTAAGGTTAAAATATTCTTCCTTTTTTGTTGATTTTTTTTAAAATATTTTTCTTTATTTTTTGTCAAGATCATTTTAGTGTTATTCTTCTAAAATCTTTCTTTGTTTTTTTTTCTGGATTCTTTCTTTCCTTTTATTCTGCTTTGATTTTATTGTTTTTTTTCTTCTTCTTAGTCTTTCCGTTCTTTCAACTTGCTTTGCCCTTTCTGGGTAAAGAGATAAACTACACCCGACAGCAAGGCCTTTGATTAGGTTTTAATTGATGGTGTTCTCAGGTCCATCCTGACCCGGGGTGGTAGCACGTGTTAGTGTCTCAGCTATGGGTATACAGTTGACCTTCCCCCTCTCCATCTGGGGTTTACACTATGAAAGTGTAAAAATAGGTTTTAATGCCAGCAATGCTTTCTTGTAAAAATTATTGCTAGCAATAAATTTTTGAAGAAAAAAAAATTACCAGCAACACATATTTGATGAAAAAAACAAAAAACAAAAACATTAATAGCAATACATTTTAGAAGAAATAAATATTACCATTTATTATACATTTTTGAGGATTATATATTACCAGCAATACATTTTTGGGAAAAAATATTACCAGCAATATATTTTGGAAAAAAAAAATATTACTAGCAATATATTTTGGAAAAAAATTATTACCAGTAATACATTTTTTGAAAAAAAAAAAATTATTACCAGTAATACATTTTTTGAAAAACAAAATATTACCAGGAATACATTTTTGGAAAACAAAATATTAGCAGCAATACATTTTTGGAAAAAAAAATATATTGCCAGCAATACATTTTTGGAAAAAAAAAATATTACCAGCAATACATTTTTTGAAAAAAAAAATAGCAGCAATACATTTTTTAAGAAAAATATATTACCAGCAATACATTTCTGGAAAAAATATATTAGCAGCTATCCATTTTTGAGGAAAAAATATATTTTCTGAAAAAATATATTACCAGCAATACAGGTTTGGAAAAAAATATTAGCGGCAATACTTTTGAAAAAATATATTACCAGTAATAAAACTCTTGTCGGCATGAAATAACCCATTGAGGTTGATATGCCGTAAAAACAAAACAAACCAAACCAAACCAAACCAAACCAAACCAAACCAAACCAAACCATTTTGCTTTGATGTCGTTATCTTTTTATTATTTTAATTTTTAAATCTTTACCTTTCTAAGGTTAATTTTTCTTTCTTTCTTTTTTTTTTTACTCTTTTCTAAGTTGCTTTTTTCTGTTTTAGTGTTATCATTCTAGTGTTACTTTTTCTAAATTCATTCATTCTTTCTTTCCTTCTTTTTCTTATTGTGTTTTTCTTTTCTAAATAATTTTTCATTTTATTTTCATTTGATTGTTTATTTTTTCTCTAAGTCTTTCCGTTCTTTCATTCAATTTGCCGCCTCCTTTCTTTTGGTGTAACTCCGCTTCATTCAATACGTCTTTTAAAACTGACCGGCATGTCACGTGGATACATAATCAATCTTACAGGTTCGCAAAAAAAGCGGGAAACACGAGAACGTCAAAAGAATACAAATCAGCAAATAAATCATAAATGCAAATGAAAAGTGTAAGCTTAAAAACACACAAATAAAAAACCATCGCTACTGGATTCCTGGAGACGAAATTTAACCATTTTTGGTTATTAGCATGTTTGCAGAACTGTCTAAAAGAGCCCTGTCAAATTACATGCTGCCGATCGTCTGCCTTCGAAGGGACCACAAAAAATGATTAGATTAAATCATTTTAATTAAATATTTAAAATGTCCGTTATAGAGCAGATTTAAAACTAGAATTTCCAAATTTTGGAATCTACAGGGTGAGTCAAGACTATGTTAATTTTAGTATGAGAGGAATCATTTATTCAAAGTTTACTAAACAGTCTTCACCTGTCCACCAACACGATTGATGCACAAAATCCAACGAACAATAGTACAATTTAGTGCCTTGACACACATTTCCCGTGGAATGTTTGATATTACACCTTTTATTTTGTCCTTGAGTTCTTTGATGTCTGTAACTTTTTTGGTATACACGCGATCCTTTATCATACCCCATAACCAGAAGTCACAGGGGAGTGTGGTGGCCATGCCAATAGTCCACCACGACCTATCCTACGATTTGGGAAACTTTGATCGGGAAAGCGCAAACGGTACGGGCAAAATGAGGCGGTGCACCATCCTGTTGGAAATACCCTGCACGTCTGATTTGTAGGGCTATGGCATCAGTGGCAAACTCTTGCAGCATTTGTAATTAAGAATTTGCAGTCACCTTTGGAGCTGTAAAGAAATATGGGCCAATTATACGCTGTGACATTCTAATTATGGGGTAATGTCTAATTTCCCATGGGTATTAAGTAATAGACTTATCCCTCGACACAATGTCTGCAAAATAATGCAGACAAGTAAATGTAATTAATACAGTTTAATTAAATAACAGAGAATTTACTTAAATAAATTGTATCTATTAAAATAACATTTAAACAATATATATATATATATATATATATATATATATATATATATATATATATATATATATATATATGGACTCTCCCGTCGGTTTCGACGTATGAGGATCTGCCAGCTTATTGATTCCGTGATGAAAGTTTATGCTCTAATCTTAAGTGGCCTTGAAGACCCGCTAGTGATTTACAAAGGAGACCACATATGGAGCAAGTGTGAGGATTGTGAGATGAGATCACTGTTAGATTGGTTGACCTTTTAGATCGTGCTCTCGCTTCTTGAAGATGATTCAGACAAGCAGATTGAAAGTTGCTGAGTCCACTAAAACACGTTGATCTCCATTCTACCAGCTCCAAAGCTAAGCGCTCAAGGGTGTTATGTGGTATATTAAATGCTGACAAGTTGCTTTTCAGCTTGTCTTTGTATCTTAGCCATGGGCGTCCTACATTCCTGTAGCCCTGATCTAACTGGCTGTAAAGTGTGGATGGTTCTGCACAAGCCTTCGCCACTTTAATCAAATCACCTGTGTGGGTTTTCTGGCGGTTTACCTTGATTTATATATATATATATATATATATATATATATATATATATATATATATATATATAGTGATTCCGAATATTATGACTATCACTTTTTCAAGCATCTTAACAGTTTTAAGCTTAAAGATAAAGAGGACGCATAAACTTTATTCAAAATTTTCTTGGTATCTTTAGAAATTTTATCCTTATGGTATAAATGATCTTGTAACTCGAAGATAGAAATTTATAGATGTTCAGGATTCCTATTTTGACCGACTTAAGCACTGTTTAAATACGTTAATTCAGTAATAATGTTGTCCAGGGTGGTTAATAAAATAATAACTAGAACAGCAGCATACAAAGTTTATTTTCAACAAGAACAATACAAGTAGATATGTATAAGTTCGTCTGAAGTTCGTCTTTCGGCTGGAAAGCAAGCCAGTATTTATCCGACGCCCCCACGAGGCAGGATGTAGCCCAATGCCGATTTTTATGTGCGGCGATCCGAGCCCGTAGGCACGGGCAAAAATCCCCCGTAGATCCTGTATGCTTCTGGGTTCCTCTCTGCACAAAAGAAGAGAGTTCGACGTCTTGATGCTTGCTGGAAAGCAAGCGTTATTTACCCGAGCTACCCACTGAGCATGATGTGGGACAAGGTCGGCTTTACGTGGGTCTTTCCGAGCCCATAGGCTCGGGCAAAATTTCCCCATAGACCCCGCATACACGGGGTCGAGTTTTTCGACCTCTCCAGATGAGACTCTGCTCTTCGGCATAGCCTCGTCTCGGTTCCTGTGTACCCGAAATCAGACAGTTCGACTTCTTGGGTATACACAAGACTAAGCTGGAAAGCAATCACCTCCTGAGACCGACACCAAAGACATTTACTTTCCTATTGGAACAGTCCATTTAATAGAGGTGTATTAGATCTTTGTATACTGAGAGTCATCAGCTTATTCCCTACAACAATTCAAAAATCGGACATTGTTTTCCGGACAATGTAATATCATAATTTTTGGTTTGTTTTTTGTTTAACGGGGCAAATTTGGCTCTCTGTGCCACGCCAGGAAATTTTTCTCCCCGGAATCAATACTTCAAATATACAAATCAACCATTCACCCTTGCATGGGGTATGGCTGCCATATATGGTCTGGGGCACCTTTTGTTTACATCGGAGCTCTTGACAAGATCCAGAGACGGATATATAATATAATTGGCCCTGATCTGGCATCTCGTCTACAGTTGTTCTCTCACAGACGCGCCGTCGGCTCTCTCTGTCTCTGCTGAGCTGCTTTCACTGGTTCCCAGACTCCATGAATTCAAGCATCCTACGAGGCTGGCATCCGGCTCCCACCCTTACACTTATAGAAACTTTTAAATGTAGCCGTCTATTCTACTCCAAAAGCTTCATACCTCACACCTCTCGCCTGTTGAACACCCTTCCCAATTACTGTTTCCCTGGAAGCTATAATCTCCAACTATTCAAATGTAATGTCAATCGACATCTCCAGTTACCTTGATCTACCCACTATCCTTCTCCTCATCCTTTCTTCTATCACTCCTATCTGCTCTCGCTCCAAATCTTCTGCATCCCCCTGCATCCTAGTGGCTTCACGCCTTGCTCGGGGCGTAATGCTAAAAAAAAAAAAAAATATATATCAACTCCTTATGCTGAAATTTAATTTTCTTGGGGACATTAGTAATTTCATTTACAAAAATGCTTTGCTTGTAATTTTTTTTTCACAAAAATAAATTGCTGATAATTTTTTAAAATATGAAAATGCATTAAAGGTATTTTTTACTATAAAAATGCATTTTTATACTTTCACAGTGTTTTGATTCCACTTTAACTATTTGCCCATAATCGGGACCCTAAGAGGTGCTAACACCCCGTGTCATGGTGGACCTGGAAACAATAGCAATTAAGAGGTGGTTCCACATTCCTCAACACCTCCCGATCAGACGCCTTGCTGCCGGATGTAGTTTATCGTCGTACCCAGGATGCTAATTTTTAGTAGGCTGAGTCATCTAATAATATGAGATTCTGTTGAACATAAAGTGTGTGTGGGGGAGTCGGTTTTATTGTTCTAACCTTTTGAGACTTGGCCACCGCTTTACCGGTGGTTAAGAAAAATGACTTAATGCTCAGCTACCGGTTGAACGGTGGGTAAACACTTGTAACTATTTTTATATCTACCGTCAAACATTACATACCAATTGTTTGCAAATTTTGACTCAGGAGCTCAGGCAGAAGGATTTAAATTATTCAGGAACGCAGAGCTCAAAGGGTTAAGCATGTGAAAGTTCATGGCTCTCCACGCTTACCGTAGAAAAAGCGTTGTCAGTTTAACCATCTAGTTACACAATTGCACACGTGGGGAGAAACACGCCGCTCAAAAGGTGAAGCAATGAAATGATCCACTAATATAATTACTTGATATTAATATAATAATTGGGAAAATATATTTAAAGTCTTACACATGGAAACAATAATTGTCAGGATTTACTAAAAAAAAATAACTACCAGTGTAAAATATTAGTAACATTAAATTCTACTGGGCATTAAAAGGAGGATCAATTTTATGTTGTTATTTTTAAGTAATCAACCGAGCTCCTTGGATTGATTTCATATGACTAGAATAATTAGAAAAGAAATATTTTCGACGTATTGTTAAATTAATAAAGGAAGAAAGAAAAGAAAAGAAAAGAAAAAAAAAGAAGCAAATATGGAAGGAGAAATATGCCAGATTCTATCATTGAATTGACCTGAAAGAAAATCCCTACCATCATTTCTCAAGCAGTTGTCAGTAATCTGTGCTTACTCGTTCGCCAAAGAAGAAAAACTATACTAAAGTGTCTGATTCGTTTCTAAAAGAACAACTAAAAAAAAACAATTATGTTCAAGCGAGGAGACAACTGAATTGGGTTGATTAAAATTGCCGCAGAAGGCGGCGGCATACTTTTAGACGTCGTGAATAATGGATTCTGTTGTTATCGAAATTGATTTGATTTGCAATTGAGATTTTGAAGAGGATAAAAAATGACCATCAAAATACAGACAGACGAAAGACAGAAACGTATAATTGCACTGGTTCAGTAAACATGAAAAATATAATCACTATTTTTGTTGACGTATCTGGAAAGTGATTCCCTTATCAAATCGTTAATCTCTAGTTGCGCTGCTGCCTTCAAGATCAAATATGGCTTTTATCTCACCGGATTTAATCAACCTATACAACGATGCAATACTAAGAGAATTAGAAGTCCTACCAGGATTCATTATTGAAGCCCATAATCTTAACAATACAGGGCGGATCAAAAATGCTTTCACAAACTTTAGAGGCAGGTTCCTCACACCAAAATAAGGACAAAAGTCTATGCAAAACGTTCAATTTTAAATCACTAAGTTTAAAGAAAGTTTACGGTAGATGGCGCTGTGTTTCCATATCGACTAGGTCATATTCGTGAACATTTGTGGCTAGTCTATATTCAAGGTTTAATATGTGT